AAAGAGTGAAGGTCTGGGCCATTGCGTGTATACGGCAGGGGTGTCAAACTCATTTTGGTTCACGGGCCGCATACAACCAATTACATGTCAAGTGAGTCGAACCAGTACAATCATTACATTATTAATAACAATAACCCATGTTTTTCCCCTATGTTATCATGCAAACGAGCACAAGTATATTTGATATTTATTATTATTATTTGTTCATATTTTATGGAATCATAATAATTTTACAAAAATATCTGAATACCTGAACATCAAGTGTTTTGGATTGAACACCTTAGCAGGCCAGTTTTGGCCTGCGAGCCGTATGTTCGACACCCCTGGTAAATGAATGGGGGGGATGAAGGTATTCATTCACCTGAAAATTCTCTTCTGACTTAGTCCAATAAAACAGTAAACATCTCACTACAGAGTTCATAGATAGAATCATTAATGTTTTGCAAAATAAAATCCTGTAAGAAGAAAAGAAAATACTAAGCACGAAGTACGACGTTTTTATCCACGTATCTCCTGTAGTATGTTTTCATCCACGGTCCTCTACACCAGGTGTCCGCAACCCCCGGTTCGGGGACTGGTACCGGTCCGTAGGTAATTTGGTACCAGTCCACAGTAATAAAATGTACTTCGAATTTGACTAATTTACTTAAAAAACAATCCAGTCATATCGCTTAACTTTTTTCATTCAAAGATAATCTGTCAATGTGTCAAAACAACAGGTCATCCAGACTTTGATACTAACAGAATAGAGTCTAAAAGGTGTTTTATTTTGAAAATGTAATGATCCTTTAATAATAGAGCGCTGTTACCTGTCTATTACCACAGTATAAATTTACAAAATGTGTTAATAAGTAGTACATTAGTCTTTATCTACCATTCAGGACGCCTTCCACATCTGAGTCCGCAGGAAGGATTTTCTTCTCCATCAGTTCCCTGGGTCCAGGTTGCCGGGAGATTTTCTCATTGAGATCATCAGCCAGTCTGGCCCGTTTCAGATTCATCCGTGAGGCATTCACAGAGGCCTCAGCCTGCGCATCTAAAGAACACAGGCAGGATCATTAGCCATGATCTGGCCAGCATCAGTCAACCTCCTCACGACTTTATCAGAGTGAATCACATTAACTTCCCTTCAGACCTCACAGAGACTTTGCTTTGGTTTTAACATCAAACAGATTCAAAACTCCCTATGTCTCATACAGTATATACTAACAAGTGAAAACACGCAAAGACGTACCACTGCCTTGTAGGATATGCATACGGATTAGTTCGGATCGCTCAGGCCTGCTGCAGAGTTTATGCTTCAGGAAGGTTCCAGTCTGTTTGGAATAATGGGTAGAATGCTCGGTAAATAATATGGAAACAAGTGAACAAATAACCACAAGACACAGTCCAGTAATTTTTAATGACATCAACCTGTGTCTCACCTTCGCTCTTTCCAGACTTCGGATTTGCTCATGAAAACCAGCAGGAGTTTTCAGAGCTGTGAAGAATTGAAGAGAACTTTGTAAATCCTTTGTAAGAAAAACAGACTCCAGTTGTACAGTGGCTATTCCTATTCCCAAAGACCATTTGTCTTCCTGTGTTTCTCCTGTTATGAACGTGTACAGTCAGTCTGATATACAATTGACAGACGGACACATTTTTAAACCCGCCGGTGTTAAACGAGTAGAGTTGAAATACCGCGTGACATAACGCGCAGTGAAAACACAGTGTGATATATGAACACTTTGAAGGCAACCCTTTTGCACACAGTCAGCGCAGTTCAAACATGGTGCACGGAGCACAGCGAGTTCAGCTGAATGTACAGTTCAAGTCATGGCTGCTTCCAGGAATTCCAAACTGCTAGCACTGCTAGCACATTGCTCTCCCCTACAATGTTAGCACACCAAATTGAGTAAAATCCTAATTTATATCTCCAATTTTTTGCTGTAAGTCCGAACTTACAAACAATTATATATTAATATAAAATATGTAGGACAACCGAACCTGTTGGCCGAGACACTATTGCAGAAACTTTTCTGCACAGCATATAGGTGGTGTGGTGACGCAGAAACGCCGTAGGTCGAGGACATCGCAAACCTTGGACCCCTGTACATAATGATACAGTACTTCATAATATAGTACTATAAAGGACTAATCTACAATGCCTGCCACTACTTGTGCTAGAGCAATGAAGTTTTCGTTCACTATGCAAGCATTATAGCCCATCAGGCATTGCAGTTGTGACGACATGGCGGAGAGATGAGCAGCGTCCGTTCGTTCATTTTATTTGTGCGACAGAAACGCCGATATTTACGTTTTGCCGATATCCGAAATTGTCCAAACACTTACTTTCCGATTCCGATATCAACCGATATCGATATATGCGACCTCCAAAACTGAGGTAAACGTGTCTCTCTCGACCCAACAAGCGATTCCAGCATACGTATTTGGCGAAACCAAGACATCACATTATGAGAACTTCATTATCGGAGAAAAAAAAAACGATAATGATTCTTACAGATATTACACAATTATGCTAATATCATATACATCCTTTTATAGTTCCCTATATAAGGAGTAGGGAATGAGTGATTTGAGTTCAGACACAACCTAAGTCTCAGTCTACATGTGGCCTGGAAATCCAACATGGTTACAGTAGACTTTCAGATAAATGTCTCTCCTCGACAAACACGTAACCATCCACACTGTGCCCTGACCTCACGCCCTTCTGTTCCTCCTCCCACCCCACATATCCTCCTCTTTATGATCTGTTTTTCTTCATGTCAGACCAACTGCCATTCCAGGATGTTTCTTCCTCTTTCTATGAGCTGAAGTGTCCTGTTCCAGACCTAAACTGTCATCCAAGTCTTTATCCACCTCTACCTATGTGCGTTTGTTTCCTTCCACTGTGCTTTTTTTTCCCCCGTCCTCCAAGCTGTCACAGTGAGGTCACTTTTTTCAAGTCCTCCAAGCTGTCACAGTGAGGTCACGTTGTTTGGTTCAGATTTCACTGCTGCTCTGGTGTCCACCCATCTTTTATTTTGTTTTTATTCAGTGTCATGTTTGAAAATGTCACCCTAACTCTCCAGGCTGTAAATCGACTTTGTTGGTTTATTTTGTATAAACAACATGTATTGGATATCTCCTCTGTTTCTCTTCTGGTTTTAAACACTGCTGTGTTGTTTTGGGGAGGTTTCCTCGTCCCATTCCAAGGTCTAAGGACAGAGTGTGTCGTAACACTGTACAGAGGCAAATTCCTGATTTGTGTTATTGGGCCTCATAAATAGAAATTGACTCAACTGACTTTATCTCCCACACTGACCCATATGCAGTTTAATCTGCCTTTTTTCTGTTATTATTTCCATGTGTTCTGTCTTAGTTCTGCATGAGTGTGACCTTAATAATAAACAGAAGCTTATGGGAGTCCAGGAAGCATTGTCAGCCTTACTGATTCAAGCTACGCCGAGGGTCACTCTTTGATCTTTTCCGAAGGGGGGAAAGAAAAAAAAAACACTCACACCACTTCAGATGAGGGGAGGTCTGTTTCATCCAACAATCTCCACTAAGGTGATGAGCTATTCGTTCTGAGGAGATATTTGCTGAGGAGCACTTTGAGGAGCGTGTCAAGGAAGCAAAAGGAAAACATTCCTAAATCAGCACATACCTGACATAAGCCTCCGGCCGTAGGAGTAGCAGAGCTATCTAGAGGAGAATGGCTCAGGAGTTTGTGTATAAGTCACTGCCTGGCCAGATCACAGACCTGACCTCCAGTGAAGGCTCAGTCAGTGACTAATCCGGGGGCATGGACCCAGTGAAAACAAACCTGCCGCGTCCTTCTCTTCCTCTTCCTTCCTTTCAGCTAAGGGCAGAATTTTAAAACTTTTTTTAATACAGTTTTCTCTATAAACCAACGCTCATTTAAAACTTTTTTTTTTACAGTTTTCTCTATAAACCAACGCTCAGCCCAAGGAAATATAACACGGAGCTGAATCGGCATCAACAGCTGGAGTTTAAATACAATAGGAGCTTGTCTTTCATTCCACTAATGTGTTTATGTTGGCTTTGACTTCGTGTCATTTTCATTATTGTGCACACTGGAGATGCACCGATCGACCGGCCAGTGATCCCAATCAGCCGGTTCTCAGGCATGACCTGCCTTGACTGGTGACTGGCTGCGTTAGCACACGTCCTGCTGGGTTTGCAGCTGAGCATTTCGGAGTAGTATGCAGCAGAGCAGGCGTCCTCAACCCTCGGTCCGGGGACCGGTGCAATACTTTTTTTGTTTACGGTTTTAGTAATTTACTTGGAATCCAGTCATATCCCTTTACTTTTTTCATTCAAAGATAATATGTCAATGTTTCGAAACAACTGGTCATTCAGACTCTGATACTAACAGAAGAAAAGTCCACGTGAGTCACCACAACGTCTTTCAGAACAACAGAGCTCATCCAACACTTGACATATCATCATCCAGCTGAACACACCCAGCCAGAACAGGAGATCGTGCAGAAGTCGTGCAAAAAATGATGTTGCACTTTGTCTCCTCCATACGATGGTAGTTAAAGCCCTTTTCTTATCTTTCTTATTTCTTAAATTCACCTAGGAAGTCGGAATCAGCAAAGATCAGTGCCAGCATGTAGTTTTTAGGCAATGTCTAAAATCATGGGATGAACCACACCATACTGCCAACCATATTAAATGTGTTTAAGGCAGTGGGACACTCAGTGTTTTACTAATTTACTTAATTCGAAAAGCATCCAGTCATATCCCTTTACTTACTTTCATTCAAACATAATCCAGTCATATCCCTTTACTTTTTTCATTCAAAGATAATCTGTCAATGTTTCAAAACAACAGGTCATTCAGACTCTGATACTAACAGAAGAAGAAGAAGTCTAAAAGTAAATTGAATGATCCTTCAACGATGATGCAATATTACTGATCCGCAGATACCAGATGACCGGTCCTTATTTCTAAAAACGTTGGGGACCGCTGCCCCTCCTTGATGGTATCCACACTCTTTTTAATCAGTACCCAACATAAGGGCAACAAAAGGGCACTGATTTAACACATGCAGCTGTATGGCACAATATGGTCTGATATCTTCAGTATAAAGTCACTACTACTTAAATTGTCTTTTTTTTTTCATTTTGATTTACACTTTTTATGCATTAAGCAGATGCTTTTATCCAAAGTTTACAGAGGAAGATTCACATTAACAAGCAATCCCCTCTGGGAATCGAACCCAGGACTCTCTGCTTCTGAGACACCCGTGATAACTGCTAGACTATGGAACCATGCTCATGAACTACCGGCACTCCCTTTGTGAATTAGATCCCAGACTTGCCTGATACAACCTTTCCAAAAAAAAAAAAAAAAAAAAAAAAAAAATTACAAATGCATTATTGCAACCCTGAGACAAATAAAGAAAATATTGGAAATTGAAATGAGTTTACCTTGCCACACCCTCCCTGCTATAGTTTCATTTTGTAATGAGACAAAGACTTGGAATACAGGGGATACGTCTCGTACAACGTCTGAAGACCCTTAACGAGGCCCTTGTTCGGTTCAACGTGTGAAGAATCGGTTTTGGTTTATTGGTACATTTAATCCAACATTTGTGAAACAAATAGGAAGCAGTAAGTCTGCCGAATTGCACCACAACGCTTTGTGGCAAACACTGAGCTTTTCATTAGAGAATTGGGAAACTTGAACCTATTTCCTTGTGAGCCAGGGTTTTCTGCACACACTCTTCACTCGCCAACAGTGGTTGTGCACTGAGCTGCAATTCGTGGGGGCTTTGAAAATAAATTACATTTGTAATGAAAAATGCAATTTTTTTTTTTTTCTCGCAGGGACCATTATGAGAAAGAAACCTTTCCTGAATCCATTGTTTTTCCCCCCCCCCATTAATATTGTTTTTACTCTGCTGTGTCATTCTATTACCTTGTCATACACGCTCAGTGTACTGTAATCGTGTGATCTGAATACTCACGTGGCATGATGCCCTGCTCCACAAGCTGCTCCCGAGTCCTCCTCTGCTGCAGACACAGTGGAGGACTGCGTTAAAAAAAAAAAAGAGCAGAGAGACAAACAGGTAAGAATCGAACCGTCGGAGAACTTCGCAAAACTTCCTCGGAGTTGGTACCATAAAAAAAAAAACAACCACCAGTCTTCAAGATTAAACAGAGCACTTATTATTTCTCCACCCCTGAAGGCCTAATACTGAAGCCTGTGCACCACCACAGACATCCTATTCACTTCCTGTATGGTTTTTAACTGCCCTTGTTAAAAGTTACCGCACATTCTACAACAACTGGAACCCCAAACACAAGAACTTTCACAGAACAATTCAGTACCGATCCGTGGGATGCAACGGCAACGAACGTATGCGGAACATAAGCAATAATCGAAAAAAGGGGGGGACTCACGCCAAGGCTGCAGCCAAAACAGCGAGTGAAATTGGAGTCGGTCGTGACGCCAGGAGCGACCACGTCAACTGTGTCTGTTTAATAATATTTTTAAAAAGCACTGTTGCCTTAGACAGATAAGCACCGATCTGGCCCGTCGCTGTAGCCGTTCAAAGGCCTCTCTCTATCTCTCAGGAGGAACTGTGGAGTCCTAAACATAAGGATAACATACAGTAAATGTCTCCAGACATTGTTTTTCCAAGAGTATAAACTTCGGTCGGGTCCAATTTTAAACATTTATAAACAAGCGAGCGAGGACATGTTATTTCAGAGGGATAACGAGGGGAGTGTGAACGGGGAGATCGTTCGCAGAGAGAAGCCCCTGATGGTGACAAATAAGGTGAGCGTGTTGGGGGTGGGTTTTCCACCCCCAACAACTCAAGCACAAGAAGACGAACACATAAGCATCAGCGTCACCTCTCCGCAGTCACGTTTTTTTTCATGACATTAAAGAAAACCAGATTGGAAATACCCAGATACCCAGAATACCCAGAATGTAAAAATACCACAAAGGACTTCGCCAAATGTATACTCATAATACCTTCTGCATCATGACTAACTGAACCTACTTTATATATATATATAAAAAAAGGATTTTATTAAATATACTTTTAATTATATAATTTGTTATTTTTCATTCACTACTTTACTTTTCTAGTCAAACAAATAGTTAGATATGTGTTTGTTTTTTTGTTGTTGTTGTTTTTAAATGTACAAGGTAATGTTAGTTGGGGGCTGTGCCATCATGGCACCCAGTCTGAAAAAAAAAACCAAACAAACCCCAGCATGTAACATGAGGCTTTTTGATTGGCATAGCAGCAACAGGGGTGGGACCCTGTTCCTTGTGCAGGAGGCATAATAGAGACAGGTCTAGGCTGGTCTTGTGCTGTCGTTCTGCCTCTATTTCTTCCATTCCCTGCAATATATCTGAACGCTACTAATTTGCATTTAAAGACGTTTCAGTTGGAATAAATAGATAAATATAAAGAACTGTTTAATCTGAAGGTGATTCACAACCCTTCTACCTCCATGGACACGAAGGGGCTGCACATCCCCATTGATGGCCTCTTGTGGTGCACTTTAGTGTGTTATTATTATTGTATTATTATTGTATTTGTAAGATATTTGATAGATAGATAGATAGATAGACAGATAGACAGACATACAGACAGACAGACAGATAGATAGATAGATAGATAGATAGATAGATAGATAGATAGATAGATAGATAGATAGATAGACAGACAGACAGACAGATAGAGAGACAGACAGACAGAGAGACAGTCTTGAGGAGTCTTGTTCACCTCAGTCCTACTGGTGCTTGCCATGATTTCTATATAACATTTCTATGCAAACAAATGACATTTAAATGCTTGATGTTGAATGAGAGTGGTGTCAGTAGCAGATTTAGAACAAAGTGTGAATGAAGACACCAAATGCCGAAATACCAACAATTGAAAAAAAAAAGTATGTACTGTAAACATTGTACAAGGATTAACAAACAACAACAACAACAAAAAACTAAAATGATAACATCTGTTTAGACACTAAATGTTGCCTGTGGTTAGTTTCTCAGTGAGGCCAACCCGAGCCCCACAACGTCACCCTATGACTCTGCAGCTCTCTCTTTTTTTTCCTCTTTTTTTAAGAGAAAGCATGGGAGAAAGTTACCCTTTAGGATGGCCCTACATTTAAGTCTTGGGAATATTTTTGTGTTCCTGAGGACCAAGTTAGCAGTAGCATTAGCCATGGTTGGGATTCCAAGTCTTGGCATCATTTTACATGTTTACCATAAACCCTTTGCTGTCTCTTTAAAAACACATACTTGGTTTCTAGCTAGCTGACAAATAACCGAACACACGAACAGTTGTTAGAGACTTAATTTACTGTAAACTGCTAACGTTGCTAACGTTTTACAGGGATTTCAGTTCTAATTTCAAATAAGTTCAGCATGTGTGTAAATAATGAGATAGTTGTTCATTTCTCGCCCTTGTTGTCAGCTAACCTGCTAACAGCTAGCTTTAATGGGTAATAAATCAGTACTAACAGGTGGAAAGGAGGTGTTTTGCTACCTACACCAGTGGGATTGTCTGTCAACTGTCCTCTTGTACTTGTAGCATCCAATGAAATGGCTTTGTGAAGGGAAATAAAATATCTTGAATTAAATCTACATGTTGACATAGTAAGAGGCTAAAAATGAACCCACCTCGATCTAAACAAAACACACACACACACACATGTGCATGCGCGCGCACACACACATACAAATACAACAGACTTGCTCCAGTCTCCTGGGACTGATTTCGTCTGAACAAGACTCTGTGAGTGTAGCAAAAATAAACTGGGCAGCTGTGAGAACGGGGCCTGGGAAACAGGATTTTTTTTTTTTTGGAGGGGGGGGGGGGGGTGGTTAAGGGGAGGGATCAAAAACACTTTCAGGATTTCTTAGGGGACAGTCATGGGTTTCTGCTGCTGAGCAGGGGACCATAGAGTGACCAAAGCTGATGCAAAAGGGTGAAAGGCGAATTCTCACTAGCGCAGCGCTGAAAAACACGTCATGCCTCTGCAGTGTTGCAAGATTTGTCTGATAGAATCAGAATCCAAACACTTTGTTTGTGTACACTTTGACAGCGTACAATTACCGAGTGCATTTCGATAGCAAGAAGGATTGGAACAGCTAAACAGTCGTCAAAATGGACAAAAGCAAATGGACAAACATATGAAAAGAACACCGAAACGTTAGTCAAGTCCATAGTGAAACTATACCCTGGAAATGAGCTAAAATGCCTTATTAGTTGCTAACATATAACTTCCCATATAAAGTCCTTTTAATGTCTCCTAAAATGTTTAAGTAAATAAAAAAAATAGCTGGAAATAAAAACAGATCGCTTTTTTCAATTATGGTTTCCGAAGTACATTAAATGTATTGAATTAAAAAGCACACACATGTACATATATGTAAACAATACAAATATTAACCAGACATTACTTGAAGCTGATTAAGAGTTGGTCATGAATTTTTGAAATTTAAATGAATGTCAACTCTAGCATATTTAGCTACAGAGGTAGCCATATTTATTTAGCTATATATTTAGCATTAGCTGGGGTATTAGCTTGAATGTAAATTAATTAATTAATTAAAAATATCAATAACTAATGAGTAAAAAAGGAATAAGATATTAGCTTGAATATAAATTAATGGTTAAAAAAAATAACTAATGAGTAAAAAAGGAATAAGGTGTGTAGGAAATAGCATAAAAAAAAGCCAAAGTTTTGACTAGAAATGGTTATCGTCATGTTTATTTTTGGATTTGTACCTGTTTGACCTATGTCGCAGCTCAACTTGGCAACTGCGTGTGCCTACCCCGTCTGCTGTGTTTTCATATTAAACTCTGAGGGGGAGCTTACTTTGTAAAATATTGCATTTTTTGAGAAAAATTTCTTACTTTGTAACTCGGGGAGAACGCCACGAGCAAGGAAATTTATGAGCACATGTTGTTGGCATCGCAGGCTGCCTTACAGCACCGCAGGAGAATGCAGAGAGTTTGATCTGATGACGGGGTACGTACACCTTATGGCTGCGGTCTCACTAACATGTTGTCATCCGTGTTGGACTTGAACCCTGGCTAACCTCAGAGTGATGTAAACTGGCCCTGCTCTCCTGATCACCAGCAGAGCATTAAAGGTGGGGGGGAGGCAAGAGCGACCTTCGCTGAATCCGTCATCTGCTGACGTAATCTCTAATCTCAGAGCCACGTTGTTCTCAGGAAATCATCCCCGGAGATCTGTCATTAGACCTTTTTTCTAGTTATTTGACTTCTATTGTCTTTTCTAGCGGATTGTCTGAGTCCGGTTGAGGTCACACTGTCTGTCATTTAGGTAAGGTTGCCACAAAGATGTGAAGCCCTTTGCAAATATTAGGCTTATTCGACAATAACAAAAACAAAACCTCTTTCTTTTTTTTAAGCTATACCACACGTACATTCACAAACAGTAGCTTTAAAAAAAAAATTATACTTTGAGGATTTTTCTCAATCATCAATCTTTACCCAACATATCAGCTCCACCACAGTTTACTGTCGTTGTGTTTTAGCAAATATTTAAAAAAATATTTTGGCTCACTTTATGTTAAGCTAGCCAAGATATGACTATATTCTAGCTTAACTCAGATTTGCCAATTTTTGAAGCTTTTATCCAGTCATTTATCTATATTTATGTCTGACATCGAACAGTATTTGAGCTCCTCTCAAAACTAATGTCAAACAAAACAAAACTGCTGTTTCTAACCTGAACATTTGTGTTTTTGTAAATGTTTACCTTTTTGCTATTTTACTTAAGCTCTTCGTAGCCATATTCTTATCTCACAATTGAGTTATTTCACGTGTTTCTTTGAGTTGTCTATAAGGTGATTTCATTTATTTTTAATTTACTTGTCAAATGTAATCTATATCCGGGATAAATAGGTTGTCTTTTCGCAAATGTTATTTAATTTTCTGTGGATTTACTTGGATAGCAAATACCATTAAGTCATTTCTGGTTTTGGTAATGCTAACTTCTTTTATCGTTTATCATTTTTACCTTCTTTGGCAAACTTTTAACTATCTGTCTAACTATCTCACACACATAAGCATGCACACACACACACACACACACACAAAGAACATTGAAGAACACCGAGATCCCTTAGAACTCCATAATAAGTTCATTTAACTGCTGCTGATAAACCCAAAGATTAAATCTCTACCCCTTCCAGGTATGGTAACAACCAAGACTCAATGTTTTGACTAAAACAAAAATTAACATAACATAGCATCAAGTATAAAATAAATGAGCCAGTGATGACATTTTACCACATGTAAAGTTTTTTCTAAGCAAATCTGAATATATATTAACACATATTGTTGTAAAGAACAAAAATTAACATAGCATAGCATCAAGTATAAAATACGTGAGCCAGTGATGACATTTTACCACATGTATAACATCCTGCTAATGTACATCATACATACGTTAGCAGGATGTACCAGCAACCAATTAAATAGAAGTTACATAATGCCAGACAGGGGAGTAATTAATAACTATACATAAATGTAATTCGACCAAATATTCTTATGTAACTGTCTACATTAAAACAAAGCTATAGCTTCTAGCCTTTAATTTGATACAGCATGGGTTATACTTAGCCCAGTCATAAACAGTCACAATTAACTATTCATGTACATTAAAGTTACATAATGTAGCATTTGCAAAAGGCCAGTGATTGAAAACATGCTATATTTTTTTTCTGTCTGTGATGTTAAGATTCTTTTACTGAGGTAATGAAGACTGAGTAAGTGTGATATAAATAGATTATCATCAGACATGACTTCATACATGTTGTTAACAACCTACCTCTTCTTGGCATGGGGTTTAGCATCTGGGCACTTAGCATTTTCTCAACGGTGTATTCGCTCTGTCTATGTCTTTTCCTTATCATTTAAACTACATTTTGGCTATTTTCCTGGACAAAATGATGTCTTTGTTTTATGTTAATGTTCCCTGTAAAAACAGTTTGTTATCTTTACAAAACCGAGAATAAAAATCACCTTCATATTTAGCCAATGAGATAGGTCATCACCCAAATGGGCTTACAACATACTGTACCTAAATGCGAACTACTGCAACAGTCAATTTACATAACGGTTACAAACAAGCTAAAAATAGCTAAATTCCGAGAAATAGCAAAGCGCTAATCTGGGAGAACCTTTCATTAGCTTAATGATAGATAGATGTTATACTGGGATGAGCTAAAAGCTATCCATGAATAGCTACAAATTAGCTATAAAAATACACTGAAATACTGTACATTAAAGTGATGATTAAACTTCCCAAAAATCAGATAGCTAATAGCAAGACAAAATTGCTAAGCTATAAACAAAAAGTCTAGGAAAAGAAAAATGTTGCTCCACAACCATAAGATAATTTAAAGTAGTTCGCGACAAAAGACGGAATAAAAACGTATATCAAATGGCTGAAATGAATTTATATGACATTGAAAAGTAAGTAAACGTATATCAAATGGCTGAAATGAATCCATAAATATCTAAGTGAGACAAATTTTGAAATTGTCAACGAGAAAAAAGAGCTATATGTGTTTTGAAATCATGTTTAGCACAGTTGAAAATAGTAAAATGCCATAGCCAAAGTTAGCTGAAAAGTAGCTAAAATGAAATCAACGTAACCCCATTAATATTTAATTGTTTACTTACTTCAATTTCCTTTAAAAATAGACTAGAAAAAATAGCAAAAAAAAAAAAAAAAAATTCACACATGCCGAAAACATTAAGCATTTAGAAAGATCTATCAATAAAGCAGCCAATGAAAAATTCAAAGTAAACTCAGACGTGGCCAAAGATAGCCACAATACTACAAGAACTGACTATAAATTAGTCTATACATCTATAAGATTGCTAAAAATAACGTAAAAGATGGCCAAAATAAAGTGACAAAACACAACCATAACAGACACATCCATCCAAGTGGAATGATTGGTTCCCAGCTGTGCATTCCTTCAATATTGCAGTGAGTTCGTGCTTATATTAAGGGACAGAAACCATAATAATGTTATAGAACGTGCCAGAATAAACACAGACACGGTGTCCCTCCGACTCTGACTGTGTTTATAAAGCAAGGTTGATTTATCCTCCATCTGAACGGCTGCCCGTGCGGCGCGGAAGATGCTCGGCATGATGTCAAAGTGATCAGCTTTACTGCTGCCTAGTCATTTCCTGTCCAGGCTCTGCATCACCTCCACCCCCCCCTCCACCCCAAACAACCCAAACTACCAGTACTGCCAGCATCAGTAAAGACTCACAGGACTATTAATAAACTTATGAACTTATGAAAAAAAAACAAAAAACATGCAGTAAAACAAGATAGAAGAAAGGTAGGAGCACCTGATTTGAATTTACCCCTGCAGAGGGAAGGGGTTTCCACATCAAGGCAGGCCATGGAGGAAAGTGCTGCTTGGCTGGGCAGCCAGTTCTGGAGTCCCATGGAAGTGATGAGGCCAGTAGAGAACCAGGGAGAGGGAGGAGAAGAAGGGGGGAGTCAGAGAGAGAGGAGACACAGCTCTCAGAGAACGACAGTTGGCTCGCAGAGGCGAACACAGTCCCACCTCTCTGGCTCCAAGCTGGCTCCAAGTGAAGAGTGTGTGTGTGTGTGTGTGTGTACGTGTGTCTTTGTGCATGCTGCTCTGTGTCTGCGTGAGTTCTGAGCAAACTTTAGGAGGAGGGACCACAGATCTGCTTGTGTTAACCCTCTGCAGGTCACAGTGCTGTAATCACAGACACATCATGTTCCAACACCGAGGCCAGAACAACCGCTGATGATTCAATCAATCTTTTCAGGACATTTGCTTCACAAGAGGAAATAACGTCATCGTCATCATGTCCACAGAAACCAACAAACGGCTAAAGGCTAACCAAAACAAAGGAGCCAGGAATAGAGCTAAAAGTTAGCACACAAAAGATACATTTTCCAAAAGAGCAATAAAAATAATCTGTAAAAGTACAAGAGACAAAAGGCAACACAGAAAATACTTCTACCCACCAATATCTTGTTTGTTACACATAATCAAATTTAAAAAATAAATACTCACCAGATGATGGGGCTAAGACCACCGCTGGTCACATTCACTTTACTTTTATAAGGGAACTGGAATTGTCCCTTGTATTTTTACTTTTTACATTTAAGTATTTTTTTTCTAGACAAAACTGACTTTGCATTTTGCTAAATATAATATAGCTAAAGCGATCCAAAAGTAGTAAAAAATGTAAAAAAACCCCCCAAAAAATCCTAAAAACTAAAAAGTCTAAAAACCTGTTTGATTTTATAAGACAATATATTCTAACTAAATGTAATCTAAAAATAAAGCTTAAAGTTAGCAAGAACATCTAATTGTTAGCCAAGAGAAAGGGCTTAAATCAGCCTACATACTGACATACTGAATACATAGATGTATGTTATACATTTTCAGAGGTTATGTACACGTATTCGTATCTCTGGAGTGTGTGCCTACTCTTTGAAGTAGATAACTCATACTCTACCGAAACTTTAATGTGTCTCAAAACTTGACGTTCACATTTTACCCACTGTGAGACGGCCCCTTGAATCGAGTAGCTCCGCCCATACTACCACTCCTACTTGTGGGAAGATCTGCCCTTTCCTTTACTCATACACGACTGCAAGATCGATATCACATACGACCCGAAACTTACCACAGTCGTCCCTTTAGCACGGTGCTAAATGAACACAAGCTACATTATGTAAACTCTTGAGGCACCGGTCGACATCTGTAACAACAGTGGGAGACAGCCAGTGAGGCCGCTCGTACTATTTTTTTTAAGACTACATATAGTATTAGCTCCTAGCACTCTTCCAACTCACTCTCTCACCGAGACACTCGCCCACAGACTCCGCACATCATGTCCCAAATTACGCACACGCCAGAGAGCTACATCGGCTGATTCCAACTGGAACATGACATAAGAACCGGAGAAGAGGAGCTTGGAGCTTCTTATTCTTCCGTGGTTCACTCTGTCCCAAACATACGAGGCACTTTGTTGTCCTGTCGGCTTAGCATAACTGCATGACATACATCACCTCAGTGCGGGCGTGGGCAAACTTTTTGACTCGCGGGCCACAATGGGTCCTAAAATCTGACAGGGGGGGGGCCCGGGTCAGGAGCAGATAGATGGAGGGTTGGTGTGAACTAAGATAAATGACATGTAAAAGTCATGCATGAAGGCTAAATGGTTTTAGCCTTTTCCAAACCATCTACTGGGGAAATGCAAGAGAAAAAGGCAGAAGTATAATGATAATATACATTTATAACATAATTTGGACAAGGTTGCAGGGCCGGATTACAAAGCCAAACGGGCCATATCTGGCCCCCGGGCCATAGTTTGTCCATGCCTGACTTAGTGCATAATGGAATACACTGTAAAAAGAATCCATCTGTACGCGTAAAGTTTTTTTTTTAATTCAAGCAAAGCTTATATGTCCCATTTAAGTTGTTAGCTAAGGTCAGCTAGCGATATTTCAACAAAAACTTAGTGCATAATGGAATACACTGTAAAAAGAATCCATCTGTACGCATGTATAAGCTTGTATGTCCCATTTAAGTCATTAGCTAAGGTCAGCTAGCGATATTTCAACAAAAAGCTAGAAGTTGTACGTAGCTAATCTATCCAAAAGTTAGCCAGAGAATAACTAACAGTTGGCCAAAGAGAGTATGAACAAGAGACAAGAAAACTATAAGTCAGTTAAAAAATGTGGAAAAGTCAACTCAGGCAAATCATCGGACCACTACATTTTTTGGAACGCTAACTAACAACGGAAACAAAACATTGTTTCCTCATGGACGACAGGTTTATTTTTGCGTAGCACTCAATAAGTCATGGACTTGGAGCATGGAGTGTATTCATTCTAGTTTCACATTTCCACGTCACTGATTTACAGCTAGCTTGACTTTTACGTTACCTATTAAATATAAAAAAAGTGATTAAAAGGAAAGGACACGGAAGAACAAAGGAACATGGGTTTTTTTCAAAAACGTGTTTTGTGGTGGCTGTGAGATGCCGTACATGACCCTAAATGCAACGGCAGGAAGTCAGATAAAGAGAAAATTACACTAATTGTGCTGGGTTCTGTGTGTCTCAGAGGACCAAGAAGGCTGGTTAGAGAAAAACTGAATCACAAAAGCGCAGGAAAACCTTTTTTTTTTCGAACTGAGGAACTGAGTAACCCCCCAAAAGAAGGAGGTAAATAAAAACTTTGTAATGAATTCATCTTAACTAACTACTCGCATTTTATCAGCAATGTTTGGTATAATATGCAAAGTGACATGATGGACTCTTGTCTTATAGCTTGAAAATTAAAAAATAAGATTGCTTTTTAAAATTGCTAGTCTTTAGTTCAAAAACATGTATCTTAGAATCTTTTAAGCTCCCGCGGGCCACACAAGATAACCTGGCGGGCTGCATTTGGCCCGTGGGCCACAAGTTTGACACATCTATATCTAGATGTTATGGAGAATTGAGCACATTATAATCTAATTTGGTTCAATTTGCGCTGATGTGAAAATATAAGACATCAACTAGCAATTAAATTTACGCTGACCTTTATTCTGCAAATCCCAGATTTGAACTGTGAGGAGCAGCTGGAGAACATAAACAAGAACCTAAATACCTTTAATGCAAACTTTACAGTGAAGGGTTTATTTATACTGGGCTGTTGTATTGAGGACCTACTTCCTGGGAGTTAGCATTGCCAAACACTTCACCACCGTGACACCCCTATAATCACATGCCTGCTATCAATAAAATCTAGCGGTTACTTCCACACCCCATGGAGTGTAAACACTTATTTCAGACAGGACTGCCTCACAAAGATTTGGTTTTATTCTGCCATAAAACAACTGCAGCATGACACACTAACATCGAGCTAAACACAGAAGCAAGGAAAAAAGACCGTACTATAGTTTCTTTCTTTCTTTCTTTCTTTTCTACCTTGAACCAGTAACTGGTTGATATCTTACGCTTTGGAAAAACAAGATAATGCCTCTGTTATATCTTGAGGATATTTTGAATATTTTCCACAACAATCACCAAATGTTCTATCTGTTGGGTAAATACTCTATTAGTCATGTTCTGGATTACATTTCGGAATTTTTTTTTTTGAACAACCGCTTAAATGTTCTGTTCACTGCGACAAACATTTGGGTACTTCCTCCAAAAATATGTATTTTCTCAAAGACCCAAAGTTCAAATTTGACCTTTTTTAGTTAACATTTATGCTTATCTCTTAGGGTAGCTAATTCTATTCGTTTTAGCTAATTTGCCATATTCTTTTTATCTATCTATCTATCTAACATGACGTATAAGTAAAAGTCCTGTCATTGTGACAGCAGAGACGGTCGTTTTCAGAGGAAACTTGACGCCAGAAATAACTCTGTCAACAGTAGCTGTGGATTCTTAAAGTCATCCTTCCCATTACCATAACATGACACATTTTCCTACATTGTCATCCTTACCATTACCATAACATGACACATTTTCCTGGGCACCAAACAGGATGTTCTGGTAATGCAAATGTAAACTAAATGAAGGCCCATCTAAAGGCAAAAATGCAAGGTACGAATGCTATGTTGGTGTCTTTTGCTGACTGTGTTGGATAAAAAATATCATAAGTTTTAAACACCGTTCAATAATGTCTCTCCTACAAACTGGTGTCAGACGATGGCATGGGCTCAAATCTCACATATGGCTGTTTTTTTTGTTTTGTGCAGCCTTTTTGAATCCAAGCTGCCCACATAGATCCTGTATGTATATTCTGGTTGGTATGTGTGTGTGCTTGAGAAAATATTTTAAAAGTAAATACCTATAAAGTTATACGGGGCGTTGGGAAAACACTAGCCGCTGGATTAGGAGACAGAGACTTTGGTGTGGTTCGGTTTTATATGATAACCTGATAACCCTGAGGTGAACCCTGCATTCTTGAGAAGTCACTAATCTTTTTTTACCTAATTGTTCGGGAACAGGGGGTTTTTGATTTGTTGAACTTTATTATTTATAAGCAGGCAAAGGAAAAAAAAAACAATGTTTTTTTTGTGTCCGCTCCACTGTTTGAAGTGAAAGGTGATGAATATTTTTTGGGGGGGGGATTTATCTATGAGGTTTATAAACTACCTGATGAACGAGCGCTGCAGAACTGGAGTCGGCTCTACGGGGATGCTGATTTATGACAAAGATAAGCCTTTTATTCTCCGACTTAAAACATCATTTTGCCATTTTCCGTAGGGAATGTTTTTTGACTAGTAATACATTTCATTTTTTGAAATGAAATATCTTAATCCAGAGATTAAAAACGTGTGTTCACATTATGGATTCGGATTAGTGGGAGAATAAAAGTGATTTGAGTCGTCCTCATTTTGACATCATTTAATGTATTGTGGCTACCAGCTGTTTTATCAGTGTTCACTTTTGTATTGATTTATGGTGAAAGATGGCCTGTAAAACAATCAAACGTTACATCTGATTAATCACAGGCTATCGATTAATCATGATTAGTCATGATTATGTAATCCAGCTAAATTGTCATTCCTAAAACAACAGTTATATAAATATATAAACTAATAAATGTATGATTTTCACACCTGTTTTCATATGTGATTAATACAAATGATAAAAGAAAATGTTAAGAAAAATAAGAAAAGTAAAACTAATAATTGACCTTCATAGAGTTGCAGGATTTTAGCCAATACTGTGCGTATGGGGGGGTCAAATATATCAGAATATATCATAATAACATATTATGTGTAATCTTAAATGATTATCCGTTCTTATCATCATCAAGTGTGTAACATAGGGGGCCATTGTCATAACCTTCCATGGGTCCCAGAATTCCTTGCAGCGCTCCTGTAAACAATGCTCGTCATTCTGGTCGCCCGCTAAAATTCATTCCATCTTTTAATCGGATAAATCTTCACAAATTAATGAACTCAATTAATTCTGACAGCCCTGGGTGAGAGAATTATAACTTCTATCTCGGTTCTTTAACTAATTTTCAAACATTGCAGTGAAA